ACTATGGTAAAATAAATGTTCAGCGATATCTTCAAAAAACTTTTGAATTTTGGTGCACTTTTTTTTCTATATATAATGTTGATATGGTAACTAGTAAATGCTGTAAATTTGGTTATGCTAGCATGTGTGGAAATATTTAAACCACGTGTGTTACAACTTACCCCACGTCCCCTACTTATTGTGTTCATAATGTATTGCAAAGCACTTTTGTTGCTATTGAGGTGGGATACGGGTAAAGTTGGGGACAGGTTTGGTGGTATGGGTAGGTTTAAAGGTGGGTTAGGTGTAAGGGGTGGGTCAAAAGTGTAATTATAAATGTAATAACAGAAATTAATTATAGATGTAATTGCATGCAGATATTTTAAATATATAAGTACAATGTGAAAACATGTATGTACACAATAAGTGCATTGTATCAAATTAATTGAAATGTAAGTACATTGTAGTTAATATAAAGTGGGACCCGAATTTTTTTTAACTTGCATTTGAATCATCTTGAATCATCAAGGAATCAGAAGAAAAAAAGTATTTTGTTTCTAGCCCTTACAGCTCAAAAGTTATTAGCACAAACGTGAATGCAAATTTGGACAAGTGGTGGCGCCAGCGGGTTTGAGTTAGAGACTTCAAATTTGGTGTGGTTAATGTTCAGACTGTTTTCTATCTGTGTGCCAAATTTCACAACTTTTACCATATGGTTCTATGGACTGCCATGGACTGTTGATTTTTTTTTTTTCATGTATTTTGTGTATAATGTAATTTTGAACATTTTTAATGTGTACTTTTGTATAAATCTCTTCTTTCTTTTTTGCCCCGATGATTAATATTCAGGTCTAGTATTATTGTTTAAAAATTAAATTAAATTAAATTAATAATAGTAAATAAATAAATAAAAATACTCACGGACTACTGTAAGAGTTGTAGAGAAGGAGCCATAACGATAAATCATACAGTTTGTTTCTGCTGGCATTTCTGGTGCTTGCCGCTTTGCAATGACTAGAGCGGCCTGGGTTGCTTCAGTTCCTGCCACCAGTTCAGCTTCTAATTCACTCACTGTTGCCTCAGATATGCTAGTTAAGCCTGCAATTAAAGCACCAATGGAAATACATTAAATATATGACAGAATTAATTGTTATGGATTTTATAAAGTAATGACTATCTAATTAATAAAGTTTTTTTTTTTTATACCAGTGATGGTTTTGGCTGCCTCGTTGACCCCAGCAACAGTCTCATTAACTGCTTCTATGTCTTCTATTGCAGGTAAAACAGATGCTACAATATCTGTGACCACTGCCTCAGAGGTGATAATGATTACTGCATCACCAGTTGGTGCTACGGGTTTTGGGAGTACTGTGGCTGCCAAATTGATTATAATCTCGTCTCCTTCTGGGGCCATGTCAGCCACAGGAACTTCTGTCGCAGGTTCAGCCTCAACAGCCGTAGGTGTGGCTAACATAACTGCAGCAGTATTGTCAGCTTCAGCCACAGCTGTGTCTCCAGCAACAGTGGGCACCTCCTGGTCAGTATCATCTAATTCTGCTTCTGTGTCAATTGCTGACACTGCCAAGTCATTGGCAACGATAGTGACATCAGCTGCAACTCCTTCCTCTGCCGTGGGCGCAACATCAACCGACTGAGGAGAAACAGTCAGCACAATGTTTTCCACTGCTGTAGTTTCATCTGGCAAAAAGGAAAAGGCACCAACTTTTAAACCTTTTTGAAATCTCTTCAAAACACTTTCTGGACTGAGAATTGTCTTTCAAATGCCATGAAATATGAGATTTGAATATAGTATGAAATTCCACCTGTGACAGGAACAGGAGGTACAACAGTGGCTGCTGGAGTTGGACTGAGCTGACAACCAGTTGAGATTGCTGCCATCAAAACCACCTGTGGCCTGAAGGAACCAGTTGTAAGGTATGTGTGGGTAACAGTAGTTTCCCGGGAAATGAGAGTTCCACTATTGTCACCAAAATCCCAGTTGAAGGTGATGTCTGACCCACTGAGATAATGGCTAGGGTCATGCAAATTAATGCCAAAGGACACAGCTCTGTTCTGGATAAAGCTTTGGTCACCCTGATTGATGTCACCAACCTGAGATAATGTCACTGTAAAAGGAATCTGGTCTAGAGAAGAAGAGGAAAGGGTCGTTAGGGTCTTTTGGAAATATGTTCAGTAAATGACAGCATTGGTTTACTCTCCAGTTACATTGATTACTTTCCCGTTCAGTTCAAGGCAGTGGTTTAATGGCATGAATTCTTACTACAGTGTAAGGTAAACAAACTAGGCTTAATTTTTTTTCTAAAGGATAGAGATGATAGAGGATTTCTAGATAAATGTGCAATTATCAAACTACTCACCAGTGATGGAGAACTGGGTAGATGCATAACCAAGGGGAACAAACTTGTCTTTGCCACGGCAGTGATAAATTACTATATCCATTGTGTAAGAACCAAGAGGCATATTGTCTGTTTCAATGGTCAGTAGAGAGGAGGGACCATCAGCCACCTGCCAATATTTTCCTGAAAGAGAGAAACAATGAAAAGAGTAACTAAAAATCAGTCACTAATAGCCCCAACGCTGTGCCTAACACCAAGCTACCTCTAAAATCAGGGAGAAATTATTTTAAAACAAATGGTTCATGAGAATGTTGTACAAGCCTCCACAAGTCTAACCTTAAAGTGGAAATGAAGCAGTCAGTCAAGTTTACATTATTTAGTAAAGTGATTTCCACTTTGATTAAAAAATATATAACAAACATGATTAATGTAACCATTTTAAAGAAAAAAGGTTGTTTTGTTATAGCTTTTAGAGCAAGGGCGCCGCCATCTTGCAGTACCACCGCGTGTGACGTCACTGGGTTGGTTCGCTCCGATGGCCAGTGAATAGATAGAAGCATTTCTTTACATTTTGAACACACGCTTGTTTTGAAATGGAGGAAGATTACATTGAAAGCACTGTTAAGTCCATAATAAGTGCAATTGCCTATGCATTTGAGCCTATACCGAGCAGTATTAGGGGTTGAAGAAACCGCGCCGGTAAAGTGCGGATCGGAAACAATACTCGTTTACGTGGATACTCCTCAAGACTGTCATTCCGACATGCTTTGTGTGCATTTGCTGATGAAGGCGCGACAGAAAGCTCAATTTGGTAGCCTACTCACTTCTCGTAATCCATTGACTCATATTTCTCGTTCACTGAAATTCCTCCCTCCACAGCAGCGCGGCGCTATTGGCAGCGCATGCGCAGATCAGTGAACCGGGTAGCTCTGTGGACTGTTTCATCCTGTCAAAGAATGACTAAACCTCGAGCCAATAGCCTTCGAGTATGAGATGTGACGGACACCTGCTGGCGTATTTATGTAATATGAAGAAATGGTCACTGAACGAATCAGTGAACGAATCTGAACGAATCATTTTGGTGAACGAACTGAAAATGAACGAATCTCTTGAAAGAATCAAAATTTCCATCACTAGAACTATCACAACGCCTGAGTACCCGTCCGCATTTAAGTCTCTTTCAGAAAAGGTCTATCACAGCGTGTAAATACCGCACTGAAATCTATTCCGTGCTGTCTCACGCTTGAATGGCTTAAACTCTTTAATATTTAAACTGACAAGGCTTAAAACACGTGAGAATGATACACTTTATTGAGGAAGCAGCACTGGTCCGATTGTTCAGATAATGTTAGGTGATTAGTTAAACAATACGTCCTGTTAACAGCAGGAAAGCTAATTGTATTCGCAGGTGAACATAAAATATGATACATACAACTGGTGAACCAGTCAATGTAATGCATATGTCTTAACGGTCTGACATAACAATAAAATGCGACATGAATTATGAAGCATCGTCTGGTTACATCACCTTGCGCCTGGCATTATGAAAACAATGTTTGGGATACCACGATCAAAACTTAGCATATAGACAGTTAGATGTTGAATATTCATCCAAATTATGGTGAAAACCAAATTATGTGTGTGTTAAAATAACATTCGTGTGTTCAAAATGTAAAGAAATGCTTCTATTCACTGGCCATCGGAGGGAACCAACCCCGTGACGTCACACGCGGTGGTACTGCAAGATGGCGGCGGCCTTGCTCTAAAAGCTATAACAAAACATCCTTTTTTCTTTAAAATGATTACATTAATCATGTTTGTTATATTTTTTTTAATCAAAGTGGAAATCACTTTACTAAATAATGTTAACTTAACTGACTGCTTCACTTCCACTTAGGTTGTTGATCCAAGTGTGTGTCCTACTTGCATATGCAAATCCATCTCTCCACTAAATGTGTAAGTTCATATATTTTACTCTAGAATAAAAATACAGGTTTAAACGTGCTCTTACCCCATGTTTTCCATACATAGATGAAGCGGGGCTTTTTGTTAGAGACCTTAGTGAAGGGTGTCCTGTCAGGAAAGACACCTGTCCATTCTTGAGGGATGTTGGGCTCGGGGTATACAGTCTGGCCCATAGTATAGGATGTTCCTAAAAGACAAATTATGTGTGTGTGTGTGTGTGTGTGTGTGTGTATATATATATATATATATGCATTATAATTTTTATATGTATAATGTAAATGTATTGTATTATGGAAGTTTGTATAACTAACCATTAATTGTACAGTTTCTTGCCCACACCACCTGTCCATCAGGAAGTACTGTCTGGTTCTGAGGGAAGCCAACATCAATGTTGAAAGTAGCTTTGGCTCCTGTCAGTGTAGGAGAATCACTTCTGACTTCAAATGTCACCTCTCCACCTATGGCAAAAAAGCATTTCCAGACATAGTTTAAAAGAAAGGTAGCAGGTGTAGCTTATCTTCTTCCAAAAAAATTAAAGTAAGCTCAATAAATAATTTTGACTTGTAGCATATCCTAATTTATTCATATGCAAACCAAAAAGTTTCTGTTTGTAAGAAGGAATTCTTGTTCATTATTTTCCATAGGAGTTTGAAAACAATTCCAGGGAAGTTAGGACATTTTGTAAAAATACAATAAAATCAAGAATCTGTGATTTGTTCATTCTGTTTAACTTTTATTTAATTGACAAAAGTACAAAGAAAACATTTCCAAAGTTTTCACTGAAAAACGTAAATGTATTTTGTAAATATGAACAAATTTTGATTTTGATGGCTGCAACACACTCTAAAAAAGTTGGGACAGAGGCAAGTTTAACACTGTCGCATCAACTTTCCTTTTAATTACAATGTTTCATTGTATTAATTAAGGATAATTAAGGATTAAGGATACTAATTGTTAAAGTTTTGCAAGCAAAATTTTTTGTCCAGTCTCTCTTGAAACAAGGCTTCAGGTGCTCAGCAGTCTGTGATTGTCATTGTCTGATTCTCCTTTTCATGACTGGTCATACATTTTCAATAGGAGTCAGATCTGGACTGCAGGCAGGCCAGTCTAGCACATTCACTCTGAGTCTACGAAACCACACTGTTGTAGCACATGCAGAATGAGAGCTGGCATTGTCTTAATATAATAACCATGACTTCCCATGAAAGACATCAACTTGACGGCAGTATATTTCTCTGTACAACTCCAATATATGCCTCCATGTCAATGGTACCTTCACACATATGCAAGTCACATGTTTGCTTTTGCATCTGTCACTGATGAAAGTCTGGATGCTCCCTTTGGACTTTGGGACTAAGAACTCAAATTTTTTCCCAGAAACAAGTTGAAACGTGGACTCATCTGAGTAAAGCACACCTTTCCACTGTCATTTTGACCATCTGAGATGAGCTCTGTCCCAGAGAACCCGGCGGCATCACTGCATAGAATTGATGTATAGCTTTCTTCTAGAGTAATAGTGTTTCAAGTTGCATTTTTTGATGCAGCAGCTGACTGTGTTAAGTGACAGCAGTTTTCTGAAGGACTCCTGAGCCCATGTGGCTATATTTAACACCACAGCATGACGGT